CGAAATGGAGCCCGGCGGTGGGAAGAGATAGGAGAGAAAGAGGGGAGGGGAGAGAGAGAGATGGGATGGGAGAACGTGTTTTGGTGTTTTTAATTTTGTAAAACAATTTTTCAAAATGACAAAAAAAACGCATTTTCAACAATCTCAAAATGGACACTCAAAACACAAAACTCAAAATGAATTCAAAACACAAAACAGAAAACAGAAACACGAAGAGAACACCACCTAGCCTCTGTTCGAAAAGAATTTATAATCAATTTCATTTATAAGTAGATTGAAATAATTTGTGGATAACACTTATAGATCAATTGAAAATGAAGTTTGATCATTTATAAATTGATTTATAAAGTTTTCAAAGGGGGTGTAGGATGATTATGCAATTATAATAAAAAGTTAGGGATCATGTTAATCTTTTTAAAACTCATGGACAACTTATATTAAGACATTAGACTAATTTTCCCCATTATTTTGATTGAATCGAGTCAATCGACGGCTATTCATTCTTCAAGAAAGGGAAATGTGGGCCGCGTTTGTGTTGAATTATTAATTTTGTCTATATTTTTTTAATTTCCCGTGCAAAAAAGTGAAAATTGAGAGCACACATAAAAACAATGGGACATGGGGCTGTTACTTGCACGATACGGGTGTAGGAACTATTAGTCAACATTATAGAAAAGTAGAATTTCAAAGGCAATTGGGACTTTTTCTCTATTATTGAACTTGGATTTTACGAAAAAAGCCTTTCTTCTTTTGTTTTTCTTTTACGGATTTCGACCTTGATTGATTCTTGAATATTTGATGACCACTTCTATCTTATCTCCGCTTAACAAACATTATTTTAAATTTTTTTTCTACATACTCATTTTCAACCACACATTCACAGAATAAAATATTTTACACGTAAAATTAATTTTTTTCTATTTTTTAATCATACATTCTCCTGAAAATCATTATTCAAAACATTGTTTTTACCAAATAATAACCATCAAACAGTGAACTTATGTTACTTTTCAATCACATAATTTTTTTAGAAAAAGTAAAATCATGTATTCTCTTAACTTTCTTTACTTCTAAACCACACATTCACTAAAAAATTACTAGTCAAAAAATTTCTATCAAACAAGAACTATGCGTGGATTAAAGTTGTCTATTTTTTATTCACCGAATAGGTTGAGAGATCAATCCACGCTAACAACTTTTAATTACATAGGATTATGTTGAATAAAAAGTTGTACCATTAATCTCCGACTCATCGTTCGAGGGGTAAAGTAGTTTACAATCTTTAAAATATGGGTAAATTGATCTTTAATACAAATATTATTGCTGCACCCATAATATTAGAGACCTTATACCCTCTGACTTTTCATAAAAATCTTCACGTGTCGAACTTTTTGAAATTAGATTTTATTTCTTGGCTTTTGAGCTAGTGCCTAGATATTTGAAATCAAGCACGATTTTGTAAAGTCATGCTTGCATCTGAAAATTTTAGACGTGGATCGAACTTTGAAAGTTAAGTCCTTAAACCGAAGTGTGCAAGCACTCGATCCAAATTAATCAAATATTCAATACATTCATAGAAAAGGTTCATTTCTTTTTTCTTAAAGATCATCGCATCCAAAATTAGTCTTTAAGAAATTTTAGTGGGATTCGAGAATAAATTGGATTCTCAAATAAACTTTTAGTTTAACGTTTGGAATGGATTTCTCCTCAAGGTTATCGAGGTGAGTGCCCGATCGTAAACTTTAGGGTCCCGTGGAATTAGTCGAGGTGCGCGCAAGTTGGCCTGAACATCCACAATTATAAAAAAAGGGGTTTGGAAGGGATTTGATTCGGATTCTTTCTAAAATTTGTATGAGATTTAGCTAGAGACAGATTTTAGTTTGATTTGGACTTATTCATAGTGAAACTGCCAAAATTTCCAATATAATGGAGATAAATATTTTTCTCAAAATAATAATAATAAAAACGTAGTAGGCTGGAGGGAGGAAAGATGAATCATGCTATAGGTACTGGAAAATTATACAGAATACAGGAATTTGAAATGGAGGGTTTACATTCAAAATTGGGAGAGGGAAAACAACACGGTGATGGATATGATTAAACCATTTCAAATTCATGTCAACAATATGTAGAAATTTCCTGTACATGTGGAATAATTTAGGAAAGAATGACTTGGACCACAAACTCTTTGGGTCAAGGGAATTTTTAATTCTCCCTTCTGCCACTAAAATGGTTTCAAAATATTACAAACGCAGTAGAATTTTTTTTAGTGTTCGTTTTGATTTTGAACCACAGCTTATCTAGCGATGTAAAAATAACAATTTTTAACAAGTTAAAATATAAATAAATCCATCTAAAATTCTCGACACGAGTTTAAATTGAAATCTTTTAAACACATGTATTATAGAAGGTGTCTGGTATTGATTTTGGCCAAATGTTAATTGCTTTCCTGACCGTTAGTGGGGCCCGCACCACTCACAGCCGGTCAATTGTTGCGGCTGAAATTGATATCAACGGTCAGAAAATGAATTCTGGTGGCCATTTTAATGGCCACCAGACAGGCCCATAATAAATTAGCGTCAAATTCTCAATACAATCTGAAAACAGGACAAAAACTACGAGGTCATGAAGTAGAAAATATCAATAGCAATGGCATTAGCAACATTAATCATTGCATTATACAATAAAAAAAATAGAAAAATGAGCGGAAAAATATAACTCTATGAAACTCCTCAAATGTAAACAAAAAAAATAAGTGAACAGTTGAAATCATTAATATACCCAAATACCACAAAACAAAAGGTTTAGGACTGAAGTTGCCAAAATATTAGATTTGTGACCTGCTTGTTACATTTTCAATAGATTGAAGACTCCTTTGTAGTTTTTCCTTTTAAATCAACCTCTTCTAATATTCTATAAAACATTTAGCTCTTGTTTGGTTCAACTAAAAAGTTATATTAAAATGTAAGTTAAAATCAATAATTAATTTTAACCACACATTTCATCAATTTTTATCAAAATTTATTAAAAATATGATTTTTTTATCTAAACCAAACAAGGCTTATAAAAACAAAAACTTATTTGAATAAATTTAGGACTCGTTCGACGTGACTTTTGAAATATTAAAATGAGCTTTTAAGATCAAAAAATTGTTCAAACGATGCTTTCGGACCCGTTCGATTAATTTATTAAAAAAATTATTTTATTTAAAGGAGTTTTTAAATGTAGTAAACCAATGTGGCTTCCAAAAGAGCTCCATTAAGAACTAGTTTCTAAATTAAAGGTCCGTTTGATATGACTTTTGCTTATAATTTTACTTTTTGTAAAATAGTTTTTGGAGGAAGTTAACTAATTTTTGTTTGGAACTAATTTTAAAAATAATTCTTATTTTGTAAGTGCTTTTAGATGAAACCATATTGGATTAGTTTTTTCCATAAGATTTTCTAACTAAAATAAACACTTTCATAAAATCCAAAAGCATATTTTAGATCTCAAAAACTCATTTTGACTTTTTAAAAGTCATGATAAACAGCCCCTAAAATAGTTCCTTAGAAAGTTTGTTATACGAGAAGCATAAGCCTTATCAAACAAGCTTTTAATAGCTTAGGGTGCGTTTGGTTTATTGTTTACAAACTAGTTTTAATTTTGCAAAATGCTAAAAACTTTTTTCGTTGGGCATTCTGAATATACATTTTCAAAAATAAGGTTAAACACATAACAAAATGATTTTTTTGACGTTTTGAGCGTTCCAGTGAAAACTCTTATTAGACTCAAGACTTCGGAATTAAGCCCCTATTTGATAATTATTATTTTAAAACTTTTTACCGTACGTACTCACTTTCAATTATAAATTCACAAAATAAAATATTCTACATATGAAATTAAAATTTATCCCACTTTTTAATCATATATTCTCAAAAAAAATATTATTCAGAACTTTGTTTTAGCCAAATAATGGCCTCAATCAGGGGCTAAGTGCTTAAATATATTTTTATTTAAATAAAAA